CTTGTATTTGTGTGTTCGAGGGCTGGGTTAGTTGTTCTTGGCTGACGTCATAGAGAGGGGACGAGCCTATGAATGTGTGTTAATTCCCCATTTTGTTTATTAAAAACGAACGAATTGCATCAGCGACTGCGTGCTTCCTTCTGTCCACATTGAAGGGCTTTACAATACCGTATGCAAATACTATGCCCACATTTTCGAGAGGTTCCTAGGCCAAGAGCGACATCTATTGGTAAAACTGTAATTTGGGAAAAAAATCATTTTAAAGCTGTGTGGATTTTTCCCTTTCAGATACACCAGGGGTGGCCAACCAGTCAGAGATTAAGAGCCAATTTTTCAGTGTGTTACTGCAAAGAGACACATTATACACATGGGTACACAGAATCATCACCGCATTGCTTCCTCGCGCACGCACACACACGCACGCAAACACACTCACAAGTCGCAACCGGAGGGGGGATCGAATACCAAAAACATGCAAACTCCACACAGGGAGGCCATAGCCGGAATCGAACCCTGCACCTGTGCACTGTGAGGTCGACGCGCTAACCACTCGTCCACCTACATTCAAATTATGGAAAGAAAAAAACGCATAGCTTTCAAAACAAAGATACAACTATCAGGATTTTTTTTTAAAACAAACCCAAAAGATAAAACATGGGATGGTTCCAGAAAATGTGGTAATTTAAAGCGAATGAGCAAGCAAGTTGGTCACAGGAGGATAATTGATGCAGTATTTAGTTCCCCTCTGCGAATAATTGGAATTATAATACCAGCAGTATATAATATTTATAATAAAGGTTTGTAAAATATGTTTACAAACATAGGTGGAAATATAGGATGTTACGAGACGATGTTGTTTATATATTGCTTCCTTCTGTCCACATTGAAGGGCTTTACAATACCGTATGCAAATACTATGCCCACATTTTCGAGAGGTTCCTAGGCCAAGAGCGACATCTATTGGTAAAACTGTAATTTGGGAAAAAAATCATTTTAAAGCTGTGTGGATTTTTCCCTTTCAGATACACCAGGGGTGGCCAACCAGTCAGAGATTAAGAGCCAATTTTTCAGTGTGTTACTGCAAAGAGACACATTATACACATGGGTACACAGAATCATCACCGCATTGCTTCCTCGCGCACGCACACACACGCACGCAAACACACTCACAAGTCGCAACCGGAGGGGGGATCGAATACCAAAAACATGCAAACTCCACACAGGGAGGCCATAGCCGGAATCGAACCCTGCACCTGTGCACTGTGAGGTCGACGCGCTAACCACTCGTCCACCTACATTCAAATTATGGAAAGAAAAAAACGCATAGCTTCCAAAACAAAGATACAACTATCAGGATTTTTTTTTAAAACAAACCCAAAAGATAAAACATGGGATGGTTCCAGAAAATGTGGTAATTTAAAGCGAATGAGCAAGCAAGTTGGTCACAGGAGGATAATTGATGCAGTATTTAGTTCCCCTCTGCACAGAGCTTGTTTTCAGCCCACAAAACTCAGTGAGTGCATCGATTAGATAAACTAATTCCATTCATTCAGCATGTTGCGTCTGTTCCTCCTTAATCTTTCAGTTGCTAAGAAACTAATTCCATTCATTCAGCATATTGCGTCTGTTCCTCCTTAATCTTTCAGTTGCTACGCAGTTGCTGAGGCTCTTTTATGATTTGGTCCTTTATTCTGTCATATAATATTGGTGTCTCACAGTATAAAAACTCGGATTACTCAGAGACACCTCACTGCGTCAAGATTTCTCCCAGTCTCTGTAGCTAGCCATGCTCTCTGTAGTTACTTTGCACTTTCGTACATAAAGAATTTTACTTTTCAACTTTTGTGTCGTCTCTACTTCTGGGTCCAAATTCCGCTCTGCACGTGACATAATAGTAGCTTCCCTGAATTGCTTTGTCATTCCCAAGCAAAGTTGGGGCGAGGATCACCTGATTGTGAACAAATGCATGAGAAAATCGTTGAACAGTTTAAGGACAATGTTCTTCAACGTACAGTTGCAACGAATTTCGGGATTTCATCATCTACGGTCCATAATATCGTCAAAACGTTCAGACAATTTGGAGAAATCACTGCATGCAAGCTGCATGTTTGAAAACAAACATGAATGCCCACGAACTTAGATCTCCAGATGGAACTGCATCAAAAAACATCGTTGTGTAAACGATATCACCACATGGGCTCTGGAACATTTCAGAAAACCTATTTCAGTAATACAGTTTAATGCTACATTTGAAAGTACAACTTACAATTTTACTGTGAAAAGCAAAAGCTATTTATCAACATCCAGAAACGCTGCCGGCTTCTCTGGCCCCGACCTCATCTGGGATGGTCTGATGTAAAGTGGAAAAGTGTTCTGTCGTCTTTTGTAAATTGTGCATGTTGCCTCCGGGGTAAAGAAGAAAAGAACGATCCAGACTGTTATGGACGCAAAGTTCAAAAACCAGCATCTGTAATGGTATAGGACTGTGTTAGTGACAATGGCATTTGTTACTGACATATCTGTGAAGGCACCAATCATACTGAAAGGTATACACAGGTTTTGGAGAAAGATATGCCACCATTCATGCAATGTCTTTTTCATGGACACCCCTGCTTATTTCAGCAAGATAGTGCCAAACAACATTCTGTAGGTGTTACAACAGTGTGGCTTTGTAATAAAAGAATGCAGGTACTAGACTGGCCTGCTTGGAGTCCAGACTGATCATTGGAAATCTATGGCACATTATCCATCGATGCATCGTTTATCTCATCTATGGTCATGAGCTATGGGTCGTGACCAAAAGAAGGAGATCCCGGATACAAGCGGCCGAAATGAGTTTTCTCCGAAGGGTGTCCGGGCTCTCCCTTAGAGAGAGGGTGAGAAGCTCGGTCATCTGAGTCGACCCGCTTCTCCTCCACATCGAGAGGAGCCAGATGAGGTGGCTCAGGCATCTGATTAGGATGCCTCCTGAACACCTCCCGGGTGAGGTGTTCCGGGCATGTCGGCAGGAGGCCACGGGGATGACCCAGGACAGGCTGGAGAGAGTCTCCGTTTAGTTCTTGGTACTTCTATTGAAGATTCAGGAAGCCCCCTCCCTGCCCATCTTTAAAACCTGCCTCAAAACTCACTTGTATTGTTTGGCATTTGACTCAGCATGACTCAGATTTGATCTTAGTTTTACTGTTTGGTGCCTTCTCCCATCGTTGTTACTAATTTATTGCTTTATTGTTGTATACAGGTATATGTTAGTTGCTCCATGTACAGCACTTTGCCTGCAGCGATGGCTTTTGAAAGTGCTCAAAAATTCAGTTGAGTTGAGTTTGTCTCTTTGAAAAGTAAATGTATTGTTTTTGTAGTGTATTCAATTAAAGATAGTTTGAATATGATTTGCAAATGATTACATTCTGTTTTTGTTTATGTTTTATTGTATCGCTGCTCAGGCCTTAATAATGGTAAAAGTGCAGTGAAATAAATATGCATCCTCCTTGCGTACAAGTCACAGCTGTTTATTCACCTGGACGGTACTTATTTTTCTTATACTCTACCAAACCATCCTGCGGGCCGGATTAAACCCATTTGCTTGATCCGGCCCGCGGGCGTTTGACACATCCTGCAGATTAAAAATAATATAAATAATACGAATAATAATAATAAGAAGAAGAAGAAGAAGAAGAAGAAGAAGAAGAAGAAGAAGAAGAAGAAGAAGAAGAAGGCGAAGGCGAATACGACAACGAAGAAGACGAAGAAGACGAAGTCGAAGAAGCTGCCTTACGTCATTTCCGCCCACTCAAGCAGAGACAAAGATGGCTACCAACGTGGAACGAATTGATGTCCGTGTTGGTTCTTTACCTTCAGATGTTGTGGTACTCAAACAACCATCGGTGGACCAGACTCATCAGAACAACCCACTTTTAGGGCTACCTATTGTGGCCATCGAGGCAATCCTCAATTTTTTGTCTTACGATGAAATCAGTTTGCTGCGCTCGGTAAGAACAACGTGACGGGATAACTATTGTTATTACAATTGTATTATTAGGAGTATTATTGTTATTGTAAATATCAGTTAGTAACTATCTACTGTTTTATGCCTTGTCACTTGCGGCTGTGCACCCTGCCATTGCAATTTTGATCTAGCTAAGACAGCAACACTAGCAGCGTTATTGATACACTAGAGTAGACACATAACATGTATGTAAAAGACGACTAACTTAAACTTGTGCATCAGTGGCGGATGCTGGTCTGCCAAGGAGGGGAAGCTCAATTTCGGCCGACATCATAAAATGTGTCTGTTTATTTATACGTGAATTCTATTCTCCGTTCCTTTTCAAAAAAATGATCTGTGACACTGTCATACCAACAAAGCGCCTTCTCCAGGGACTTAACTAGTGTCCTGTAACGACAGCAACTACAATAAAACCCACCAGAAATAAAAGATTAATGTGTCGCTCATCGTTTTAAACAGAGAGTGAGTGTCGCTAAGGTGATTAGAAGAAGTCTCCAGTTACACTCAGAACAGAATGAGAATTGAAAAATGCTCCCGCGAATGCCTTCACCAAAAGATCAGTGATTGGCTCATTTCACTGTCAATCAAAAAGAGATTCCGCCTCAGACAGATCATCCAATCATCATGCAGAGAAGCGGAGCGTCCGAGCCAGCCCATAAACGCCCACTGTCAAGAGATTCCCAGAGACGCTGAGCGTCTGATGGGCGGGACAAAACCAGCATTTATCCAATGACTCGTCTCATTTCAATGCATTGGGACAACCTACACTGAACTCTCAAGACGCCCAGCGTCCGCGCTGCAGACGCTCAGCGTCCACACAGTTTAAAGCACAGTGAAGCTGCTGGAATGAATGAGAAGAGAGTCGCTTCGTAACGTGTAATAAAAAGCTGATTCGGAACAAAAGCTGAGCGCGTTGCAGTGCATATTATTTCAATTGTATGTACACCCATTTATTTGATCACTTATTTTCATTTTAGGGGAAGCTGAGGTTCCCTTGCAGTCTGAGAGCAATCGCCTCTGGTGTGCACATATATATATATATATATCTCAGTGTTGTGTCCAAGGACCGGCAACCCAAGGCCAAGGCCAAGGACTTGACTCCGAGGCCAAGGCCAAGGACTTGGAAAATTTTCCGAGGCAAGGCCAAGGCCAAGGACTTGAGAAATTTTCCAAGGCCAAGGCCAACGACCAAGGACTTGCCTCTGAGGCCAAGGCCAAGGACCAAGGACTGATTTTGAAGCTGAGGCCTAGCCGAGGACATGTATAAAACAATGCTATCATACC